GTGACCTTAGTAAAAGTACCCAGTATACTGTGTACGTGACCTTAGTACAACTACCCAGTATACTGTGTATGCGACCTTAATAAAGGTACACAGTATAATGTGTACATGACTTTAGTAAACATACACTGTACACTGTGTACATGACCTTAGTATAAATACACAGTATAGTTTTCTCCAATGAAGCAATAAAGTTGTTGAAAGACTTGAACCTCTGCCATTTAGATTCTTAAGATCATTCATTCAACCTTTATTTATACAGGTTAGCTTCACTGAATCTCGAGGACTCATTTACTTTGTACAAGAGAGACCTGTTTTTAAGAAAGAACATAGAGGAGGTACACACAATAGACAATCATAAAAAAGCATGTAAAATGAAAAGTAAATAAAATAAATGATGTAAAAGATGAAACAAAAAAACCCAGTAAATTATAAAGCGATGAAAAGATTCTGAAGGATGAGAGGGGTTTGAACATATTTTATCATAGTTTACGTTTATGTAATTTTAGTGTTTTCAATTTAGGGGTTGTCAAATATATGTTAATTAATTATAGCAGAGAAAGTACTTAGTTGAGTATAAAATAACTTAAAATACTTTTGTTTTATAATTTTCCAGACTGACAGATTTCTCCTCTAGAATTATTATTTCATTTAAAGGGGTTATATTTACAGGATTTCAGCTCATGTAGTAATTTAATAATATTTATTTTTCACATCTGATCATATATTAAATTGCATTTATCACAGTATAATTACCTCCCAGTTTGGTTATAAATATAAATAAGTTTAGTTCATCTAAACATCCACAAAACCTTGTTCTTAAAACACAGTGAAGAATTGAATTTTGCAGTTTTGTATGACAAAACAGACGTGACTAAAGCAGCAGACGCTGCCCCCTCCCTCACTGTGAGAGACACTCAGGCTGAGCTCACTCTCACGATGGTGCGCTCCCTCTCTCTGACCCGGAGTTGAAGAATCAGTTTTGTTGTGTGTTTCCTTGACTAATGAAGCCTTCCGGATCAAAGGCGAAACATTTCAGCACAAAAAAAAAAAAAAAAAATCCAGATGACCTGACTGAAAAATGTTGTATTTTATACCTGGATTATTGAGCATGGACTTTGTTGTTTTCAACCAGTTTGACAAGACTGTCAACAAGGAAGAGGGCTGGCAATGGAGGAGGGGCGTACCAAAGAGACCATCTTAGCACCAACATAACTGGTTTGTTCCACTTTGGTGTAAGCTGTTGGGGGTAGAATCAGTTTTGTGTTGTGTTTCCTTGACTGATGAAGCCTTCTGGATCGAAGGCGAAACGTTTCAGCACAAAAAAAAAAAAAAAAAAGAAAAGAAAACTGTCCAGATGACCTGACTGAAAAATGTTGGATATATATTTTAAAGTTTTATAAACCCTTCCCACACTCCTACAAACCTTTCTCCCTCACTTAATACCCTTTCCCAGTCTCTTATAAATACTTCATATGCTTCTAAACACTTTGGCGATGTTGATGAAGATGATAACGATAAGATGAGTGTACAGTACTGCACAGCATGTACAGTACACAAACACAAAAAATTGGGTTTAAAAAAAACCTGTGATACAGTGAAGCTGTAATAAATGAACTGCGATATAGTGAGGGACGACTGTAACGTGCTGTTTGCTTCGTTACATATAAATACATATCTATATATGTATATGCATATATGGGAGAGAGATAAAGATAAAGAGGGATAAATAGAGAGAGAGATAGATAAAAGAGGGGCAGGATTCACCCTGGAAAGGTCGCAAGTCCATCACATGGCTTAAACATTCCAGCAGCCAAAAAGAAGCAATTCACATAAGTGACTTAATTTGTCTAATCTACCCTGAACCTCAGACTGTATTGAAAAGGTCAAATCTCTCACGCAATGACTGCAATGGATAGACTGATGGATGGATGGACAGGTAATTAAAAGACAAGTGTTTATCTGTTAAAGAATGACAGAAATTTATATAATTTGACATCTATTTAGGGGTTTGAAGCTTATTATTGGGTGTTTTTGGCATTTTATATACCACCAAAAAAGTTCCCATGTACCTTCATAACAGTTGTTCTGGATTCTAGTACAGTCGTCCCTCGAGTGTCACGGGGGATCTATACCCTGAAGACCCGATATAAGTGAAACATTGGGGAGTAGGGATTGTAGTACAATTAGTAAGTAGTAGTATATTTTCATATATACAGTATATA